GAGGTCTGCCCCCTCATTCCCGCCCCGGCACCGCGCACGGCGGAGAGGCTGCGATGGGAGCACTGCAGCGAGGGCAGGCTGCGGTGTGCAGGGGCGTTGGAGCCGTGAGACCTGGAGCTCTGCGACGCACCGAGCTGCCTCCTCTCTGCCTTTTCACGTGAAATGGAGGATTTCTGCAGCAACGAGGGGCCTGCTTGTGCCTCCCCCATCTGCTGCTCCCCGCGAGCCGCGGCAGGCGCTCGCCTTGCCGCCCAAATGCCGAGCTCTAGAAGACAACCCAGGGAAGTTTGCGGTGCAAATGTGACCTGCAGATTTATTTGCTGACGTTTGAGATCAGTGGCTTCTCCCAAAGTGCCTGTGCAAGCTCCCGGGGAAGCGCAGTTGTCTCCAGGGTGAAAGGGAGCTGGAAGATGAACAACTGCTTAACAGATCCCCATGCAAAGTTAATGGGTACCAGGGAAAATCGCATGCCAGCGTGGTCCGATGAGAGAGTCCTTCTAATGTCTGAGTATCTATTTTTTTTTCAGAGTCTACGTGGAGCAAACTGCTATCTGTCCATGCCAGGAAGTTGTAAAACTAGACAGAACTGGGATTTGAATCTGTAGCTGCAGAGAATTTTTTCATGTTTCATGTCTGCTCCTTGAGAGCGCCCTTGGAGACTGCTCACGGTGGCATTTTTAAGACAGAGAGATAGGAGCAGCTCCAGATCACCTTGCTAAGTGTGTTTTAATGAGGCAACAGAGAGTCAGCCTAACGCAAATGAAGGCAATTAGAGAAACGCATGTGGCCAATTGCAGCCCCCACGATCCCTGCAAATCTCACACTAAAAAAGTCAGGATTTGCTAAGGCGGTGGCAGGAAGGAGTGATTCACAGAACAGGCCATCGTGCGCCTGCCTTGAGCACCGTGAGGGAGCGTGAGGGTCTGTTGCACCTAGTGGAGGAACTGGCTGGACATCAGCTCTGCTCTAGGCTCCCTTGCTCTCAGGATCATGCATGTTTTACAAGTCCTTGTCTGCATTTATTGCGCTGCCGTAATGAAAATTGCTGTAATTTTACAGGTTAGATTCTGAACACTTCAAACTAACCATCCAGGACAGATGCTTTTGGTTTGTTTGGAGGTTTTCTTTGAGTACTGTTGAGTGATGACAGCTTGAGTTGGACTCTGAAAGACCTGCAGGTGGACAGCAGTGTCACTCAAACCATGGCCTGTAAAGTTATCTTCTTATGAAGCATGTAAGGACTTTGCAATTTGGGTAATTTTGGGGACTAAAATCAAAGGATTTGCACTATGCACAGGACATGTGAGATGCATCGTTGCTGATGGATTTGAGTGGCAAAGAGGTAAGGAAGCAAGAGCAGAAATGCAGAGGATGCTTGTGCCGTGGGTGGCAGCTGCAACCTGGCATGGGCAGCATGGAGGTGATAACGGTGGGGCAGATGCCACCAACCTGAAGACAGGCTCACAGCTTATTCATTTCAGTCATTCAAGAGGGTTGTGTAACTTACATCCTTGTGCGGTTTGTCCTTATGGATGCACTGTTAAGTGGTACGTGCTCTGTTTTTGGTGCTGCAGATTTTGCAGGAGGTTTGCAGCTTGGAAGATATTTCCTGTTGTGGCTCTTAACACAGTGCCCCAGGCTCCACTAAATAGACAACCTCATTAAAAGAGAAATAGCGATGGTAAAGCAGTGACTTTCCCGTGCCATCTAACTCACATACTTGACATGATTGCTGGGCCCTCCAAGTACTTAATTGATTGACTTAATTGATTTAGTGGAACTGGAGGCTACAGCATGGAAATAAAGGGGCACGATGAGGTGAAAGAGGTGAAAAAATTTATGATAGGTGCCAAGCAGCCTGAGGGAAATTAGAAATGCTGGAGATCTCGGAGGTAGCTAAATCAATCCAGCATGATGTACCGGGAGCAACGTGGGGGAGAGGAGAACGGGGATGGACTGGCGAGCAGGAGGGGAAATCAGAGCAAACAAGGGAGCCTGGAGAAAGCTCCCAGGAAGGGGCCAAGGGAGGAGAGCGACTTGGATAGGTGTGTTTTAAAATCCTCTATTTTCACCAGGGACTAAAGCCACACGAGAGCTCAAATAATATGGAGACTATGGATGGTGACTTAGCAACTCGAGCTTAAATGTTAAAACAAATTACTTTCTAATCTGTGCAATATTTAATTGACTGTATTGAACCATAATACAAATTAAGTCTTCTCTGTAATTTGTTCTGTCATACTGCAGCCCTCCAAACAATTTGATACTTCACTTAGGAATTGGTAAATGGCTCATAGAAGTGCTCAGCAAGGAGGCTGTAAAGACATCAAATAGCATGTGAAGAAATCCATGGGTGTGTGCATAATAAAATGGGGATGTCATAAACATCCCGAGGTTACGAAGGACTGGGTTTTATGTGTTCCTGAGCTGCGAAGGTAGAATTAAGTCTTGGTAAAGCCTTGAGGATGGAAAAGAAAAGAGGCTGGAGGAGGAGGAGGCAGCCAGGACTGTGAAGATTAAGTGCTGAGCGGTGACCAGCAGCTCCAGCACGAGCAGTTGGGTCTGGCTGTTGGTTTATGTCCTTCTGGGCCTGTTGAGCAGCCCGTGGAGAGAGCGGCAGTGTGCGAGCAGCTGCAGGGCTCGTTGGACAAGGAAGACGCTTCCAGTGGCTGCTCACGTTTCACGGGACAGATTAATCTATGCGAATGCACCCAAGGCAAATTTAATCAAAACATGAAAAGACCGTGTATTTATGGACTGGCTCAATTCCGAGCCGCTGTCGGATGGCGGGATGAGAAGAGGTGAGTGCACAGTCCCACCGTGCCATCCCTCCGGTCATCCTGGCCTCCAGAGCCTTTCCCTGCTGCAGTGGGCTGCGCTGGGAATTATACGGGCTGCATCCTTAAAAAGGAGGAAAAAAAAAAGGTATTTTGAAAAATGATGCAATTTTGATCCTGTATTTTACCTTGGTAAATCTCTCCTGACTGCGACAGGAGCGGTTTCTGATTTACGATGATGGAAGAATCAAGTGCTCATTAAGTGATGTTTGGAATAAATTATTGGAAAATGTAGAAGGGACACGCTGGATGAATCCAGATCTGTGAAAGAACAAGATCAAAGGACTGTGTGCATTTACGTTTCAGTGCAGATGTGTGTACAAAGCATTACTTTTCTTGTGCATTTTTCAATTTGATATCCCTTAGACAAATTTAAAAAATATTGCTAAACCCTCTGTGCAGTAAAATATGCAAAAAGATAACACTGCAGTCCCCTTAATTCATACATAGAGTGGGTACAGTTTCTGAAGTGTATTAGGCATCATAACCATTAAAAATGTAATGAATTTAGACCAGTTAATGAGAGTTCCCAAATAAATTGGAATGTCTCCATCTGCTGTCTTACACTGTAGGTGATATCTTTCTATGGTAGAGTGATCTTCAAATTAAATTCCGCAAGGAAGGAGCCTGATCACAGCTTAGTTTCAGCACACAACACTCTCTTGCAATCAATAAAGCTCTGCCAAAGAACTTTGATTTAATAGGAGCCGGAGATAACGTTCCCTGTCATATGCAGAACAGGGAGAGGGGGACGTTTCATTTCATTGTTACAGATAGTGTGCGACTGCCTTGTGAAGAAAAAACCCCTAATAAATCAATAGCTGTATATTATCTAAGGAAGATCCCATCATTAATTTTAAACAGCCAACTCCCTGGGAAAGGCTGAACCTCACCTTCAGCTTAGCCACGATCAGCCTGAAGCCGGTTTTTCTTAGGAAAACCTCAGTTTTCCTAAGATCAAGCAGTCTGGATGGTGGGCAGAGTCAGAAAAGTCCGTGTTTTTATTTTAGATGTAGTCATCTGTCTCTTTCATGTGGCCTTTCCTTTTAAATTTCAGCCTGGGTTCTGCAGAAGTCCCATCACTTGTCACCTGCCCTGCACGCACTCGGCTTTTTTGCTTTTACACATATGTGTAATCTCTCTGGTTTTGAATTTTAAAATGTTTTTAAACTCTAGAAATAACTGGTTGTTTAGAGATTGCCTGGATACCACGCTGATTTTCAAAATGTGCTTTTCTCAAGAAGCAGCAGGAGGCCGGACCTCAAAAGAATTCTTTGTGAGCCTTTGCTTGCTCTCAAAAATAACATTATCACTAGCTATAAAGAGCAGGCCAATATATCAGAAGGTAGAAATTCAAACTAATAGACTGTTTTAGATAAAGGTTTATTCTAAGTAGAAGTGCTTAAATATTGCTTTAGTGATTAAATACTAATTAGGTCAAAGCAGGAAGCGTGCTGGCATGCTGTGCAGCTTCCTGGCCAAGACCTGCTCGTAGGAACCTCAGGTTCATGCTCTGGTTCTGGAGACTAGTGAGGACCAAGTCTTACCATTTACAGCAAAATTGTTTTGTTTCTTCACTGTTAACCAAAGCAGGGTTTCAAGTAAAACATGAGATTTGCACTTAACCTTGCTTTAAGCTGGAAAAAACTGTTTTCAGGGAAAAGTGAGTGCTTGGATTTCTGTTATGCTGTCCAGAAGGAGGACATTGAGCTCAAGCTGAGTAGTAGCCATGCGGAGCCTTCTCCTTCAGGGTCCTAGAGAGTTTGGCTCTTACACATCGCGTCCCGCACTCGCTGCAGGGGCTCTGCCCTCGCAGTCGTACAAACCTACAGGTAGCTGCTGCCTGTTGTTTCACACGCCCACAGAGAGGTAGTAACTAGGAAACATCCTTCTTTTGTTGACTTATGGTTCATCAAAGCATAGACATACTCAAGTGAAGAGTTCAGGCAGATTATTAAAACAAGTCAAGTTTGGCCAGATTTTGAAAAGACATGTATCTTAAAAAGTTCAACAGATTTTGGCATGGCATCATTTTCATTTATTTTCATTACATGGGTATATTGAGCTGCAGGTAAAACACTGGCGAAGGGGAAATTTCACAGCTTAAATGGAACGTTTTGATGGATATTTTTTACTGTATTGCTTTTGTTTTGTTTTTAATAGCTTCTACAGCACCATCATGCAGTTCATGAAATTTCATACATCGCAAAGGATATCACAGACCACCGAGCCTTTGGATATGTGTGTGGAAAGGAGGGGAATCATCGATTCGTGGCAATAAAAACAGCGCAGGCAGTGAGTATCCATGCCATCCTTGCAGTTTTGCACCGTGGAACGTGGTGGAAAAGCTGCACTTGCAAGAGGCTCTGCAAGGGGCTGTGCTCATGAGTGCACCAGACTTCTCATAAGTATCTGCTCAGATGCACTTAAATGGCAAATTAATGAAACCAGCTTGGGGGAAAGAAAAAGGAACGTATTTCAACATTCTCATTTTTTTGTGATGTATTCTTCCTAATTAGTAATTATTTTCATTTCTAATTAAACGAGATTCACTGACTGAACGCAGATAAATTCGGTTATATTCCTATACTCATTTAAACAGAAAATGATAGAAGCCAAACAGCTACTTTGCATGAAGTCTACTCTAATTTCATTGTATTAGAAACCACTAATAAATATAAGCAGTGCCTTTATATACTCATAATTATCACTGTCATTAATCTGCAAATATAATTAGCTTTACAGAAATTAACCTTAGCCTGAATGCAATTTGCTGAAGCAATCCAAACAAGGTAGAAACTAATTCAGTATGAAGTTCTTTGCCTTTGAGGAGGTAAATGTGGCTGCTCTATTGGCAGGATGAAAGAGGTAGGAGTATGGTCGCCTTCATTGCTGCTTTTTCTTCTGTAGGCTGAACCTGTAATCCTGGACTTGCGAGACCTGTTTCAGCTCATCTATGAACTGAAACAACGGGAAGAAATGGAAAAAAAGGCACAAAAGGATAAACAGTGCGAACAAGCGGTATACCAGGTACATGCATAAGCTTAGATTACTGCCAAGGCAAGTGTGGTTTGGATACCCCTTAAGTCCTGGGAGCTGCACTGAGTATCCTCAGCGTTCATTAACAGCAGTGTGTTCAAATGATGGACAAACATGAACCTAGCTGCTGCCAGGAGCTCAAAAGTAGGATTAAACAGTGCTGAAAACTATGGCATGGATGTGCTGAACATGCCTAGCGGCTTGAAATGGCCTGTTTGTTTCTCACGTAGTGTTCCTTCTAATTTAGGGTGAAAATTTTAATGGAAGTTAGTGGTGTAAGTCAGGTTTTTAAGTGTCTTAATAGTTTGGGGGGATATTCAATATATTTCTGAATGTGTGTATTTGAACTAACTCAAGGCGCAATTGTTGGACTTTGAAACTTGAATAAAGTTACTTTGTACAATAATGGGACTTTATCTGTATTATAAAGCAAAAACCTTATATATTAGCTGCACATTTGGCTTATTTCTTTGCTGTCCTTTAATTTCTGAATACAGTTCTTTTATCTCTGCTGTTTATGTTCTTTGCTTTTACTGCCTGTCCTCTTACTTTGCTGTAGACAATTTTGGAAGAAGATGTAGAAGATCCTGTGTACCAGGTAATTTCTGAAGCTGTACAGCCTTGGAGTTTCAGAAATGACTAGATATAGATACGTGTTATCTTCAGACACAGACAAAACTTTTAACAAGATATTGTTAAAAGAGATTTAACTGAGATAGATTTTGTGAGAAACCTGTTGGGTTTTAACAGAAAGTGGCAGGTTTAGAAGTAAAGCTCAAAGAAATAACAGAATATTTCTGTATACAAATGCAGATTAAATCTTTTTGAAATGTTGCGTGTGAGTCTAGAGTTTGCTTCCCACTGAGATTTGTCATCTTTTTTTGAATACAAAATCTAGCAGCAAATGGAATTACTTTGAAAAGAAAGCAGGTGACATCTTGTTCTAATAGTAATAAATTGATATTTTGTTATTGGCTCTATGGTGCCAGATTTTAAGTCACAGAATGAAATGGAATTGATGTTTTACCACACTCCGTCATTTGTTAGCAGCTGGGTTACAATTTCATAATGGAGCTGAAATTTAAGTCTTATTTCATCCAAGGAAAATGGCCCTGAGCAAAGATGATTATCAGAAATATGCCAATATATTCATGTCCAATATCCTACTGAGTGTGAAGAAGATGTAATTTAATTCCCGAGTATTCTTGCTGAAACAAAATACATTATTGGTCTGGGTTTTTTACAAAACACATTATAGTTGTTGGGTTTCTTTTTTTTTTTTTAATGATAGTGATTTGGGGCTCTTCCATTTAGAGGTAAGAATTGGGATTACACTGAGAGAAACCAGTCTAAGCAGTAATGAATGTAGAGCACCATCTAAGGTGCATCATGCAAGATGATAAACATTAGGAAGCTCTAAATTGTTTCCACCTCCAGTAGTGTCAGTCAAGAGCTTTATTTGTGTGCTCTGCACTGTAAAGTAAGAGCCGAAAACGAAAAGTGAAGCTACAGCCTTTCCTCCTTGGGACCTGTTATGTAAGCATCAGCCTATTCTCCTAGCTCGGGCTTAATTTGTTTTATTCATAGGTAATAAATACATGTGGAAATAATTGCCATTATGTAAAAGAGGCAAAATTCATATTGACTTCAGCTAAATTAAAATTGGACCACAGGCGGGATCCCTAGCGAGAAAGAATTAGGAAGTTGCTCTAATGATCATTAGTGGAGATTTAGGTCTATTCATTGCTGGTTTATGAAATATGAAACAACCTTACGCTGTGCTTCCAACACACCGGTTGTCCTGGTGCCAACCTGTACTTTGAGCTTGTTTCTTTAATGCCTGCCTGTGTTTTTATGTGGATTTCCAAATCGCTTTTTTTCCCTTCTGTTTCATCTTTGACTTTTCCTCTTTGGCTGCTGGTGTAATAGTACATTGTGTTTGAGGCTGGACATGAGCCAATCCGTGAGCCTGAAACAGAAGAAAACATTTATCAGGTATAAAATCGCTACTTGTGTGTTTTCATTGCAACCAATGCGGGCATTTAGTGAAATAGGTTTCATATTTAATTCATTATTATTAGTTTTCATCCACCACAAAAACGTCTGACATTTCACTCCTACGACGTTACATGAATAATCTACCCAATCTCAGTTGTGCTTGCTCTATTAATTCGTTTGTGCTTCCAGCTTTTGTGACATTTATTAACTTTGTCTTTGCCAATTTATACAAGGTCTGAAACTTCTGACTGCACTGTATAGGGCGGGGGAATAAATAGGGGAATCGCTTATTTCCTGTTAATTTTCAAAAGTTTTTACAACTTTTTGAACACCAGCCCTGAAATCTCATTGATTTCTATAGATTGGGGATGGTAGTCCTGGAAAGAGACCATCGAAGCCTCTCTTAAAAGGACATTTTGATGGGACTGCTCTTCCTTCTGCCTAACGAAGGAGAATAACACTGAGCCAAACCTAAGAGCTCTCAGTGAATATTCCCTACACTGGGAAAATATTTTCAGAATATATGTGTTATGTTATAGCCCAAGCTTGCATTCTTCATGCTGACAAAAAGTCCCTTTGAAAGCAACATAAAATAATGTTTTGTCATTCCGTTTATCCTCGAGGGGTTGGTACAGGGTTTATTAAAATGTAATGTAATTCATTTTATATAGCATACTAGAGGCAAATCTGGAGACAGACAGAAATCTCAGTGTGCTGTAAGAAACGGGCGATTTGAGGAAGTCATTTAGCATGGAGGGGAAGGGGAGTCAAGCAGTGATTAGGCATTTCATCTAGATGTATTGAGGTTGATTTGCTAATAGGAAAAGCTTTTCTAAGGTAGCCAGGTGCAATATATAATGAAATAGGAAGAGAATTTATTTCAAACAAGGAGGAAAGAGAGAAAGGGAATGGAGAAAAAAGGCCAGGGTAGAAAAGCTGTAAACTAGGGGAAAAGGTATTAAGAGAGAAATACAAATGAATTAGAAAATAGCTCTCAGATAAGCACCACCATAGGTTTATTAAAATCAAGTTCATTTAAGCTGGTTTTGTTGATTTTTTGGTACCTCTGCCACACAGGGTAGCATATGCATTTTTCCACATATCTTAGACCAGGATATGTAAGACACGGATGTCAAGATGAGGGTATTTTCCTAACCTAAGGCTGAGAATGATCTATCACATAACGTAGAGAGTTTGGCTATCAAACTCTGCGGACACCATCTGATGAGAGCAAGGGAGGAATGGGGCCTCTGTCTAAAGAGCAGCAGGATCTCTGTGGAGATTTGCTTTTCCTTAAAGTGGAAATAGAAGGTGATAAACAGTTAGCAAGGTCTTTACTCACCTGGAGCTAGTGCTGTTAGTGTTCTCTAAGTCACCAGAGAATTGCTCAAGGCCTCGTTTGACAGTATCTGGGTGTGATGAAGGGTTTTCTCCTCAAGTAGTGAACAGCAAATACCTGTGATAAATACATACAATAACTTCAGTATATGCAGCGTAGCACTGTCCCTCCTGTATTTACTGCAGGAAATACCTTGAATACAGCAGCTGCTGAGATTAGGTAGCTTTGAGTCTTATTTCATTATCTATTGCAATTGGCAGATATTGAATATCTCTCTGCTAGATTTGCCCAGGGCCACAAGCTTCTCGGCTTCCACGTGCTTCATGATTCCTCACCTTGCTGCAAATCTGAATTCCCACAGCTCATATTGACATCACTGGAAAAAAAGAGGTTTTCTCTTAAGAGCTCGTGATTAACTCAGAACCACCAAGGCTGCTATTAAAAGTGAAGATAGAAAAAGGTTTCATTTTGTTTTTTGTTGGATAGCATTTTTTTTCCAGCTCCTATTATTTAGGAAACCATCTCCATACTACATAATGGGAAACACATCTCATCAATAACCTAGGAGCTCCTCCTTTCAACCTAGGCAAACTTTCCTTCTGAGGCTGCTCTTTTTGGCTGCCAAGAGCTTCTCCACAGAAAGGTCTCCCTTGGGGCAAAACGTTCCTGTCCAATGAGTAATTTAAGATGAAAGATACACGTGAAATGCGGCTATTTCTATTTCTGTTTAATGCAGTAGAGGTCACAACCTCACTCTAAGCGTTCTTTCCTTGTCTTTCACCTTTCTTGGATACATTTATCCCAAAGTCATTCTGTGCCTGCTTGCTCTTTTAATATTGTCTGCCTGCATAAATTGCTCTGAATGCATCAGTTATGCAATGATTAGATCACCAAACATGTATCAATCCTCTCACCTAGTATCAGATACTTTAATTAAACATCTATTTGCTTGCCTGTTGTTTTGTGGTATTGAGATGGGGAGGACATTTTGTTACATGTTTTTATGTCACTTTTTTATATCACATCCGTGCCTCTCTTTGGAGAAGTGGGCTCTGTGCTATAAAGAGCTGACAGTATATGTGGTTATATGGATAGTTTTGGAATTAGTTTGTCTCGTAGCTTTTGTTGTCCTTTGAAGGAAGAAAAAGCTTTCAAATGACATGTTATTGGAGCGTTCTCCATTTCTGCTCTCACACTGTAATTTAACAGTCTTCAGAGAGAGAGGTCTTTGTTTCAGTTAATTTGAATGGTTCCACTCCTAGCAAATATGGTGTGATAGGTGGTTTTTAGTGGGATAGGACAGCACTTTGGGAGAGCAATAGCACATGGTTTGAGCAAATCATCCTAGGAGCAAATCATGCACTAGGAGTATAAATTTTTAAAAAGCATCTACAATAACTGGGCTCATTCTGTTTTTGCAAGTATTTTGCACTTGTACCTCTTGAGTGCTTTTGAGAAACTTCCATGTGTGCTAAGTTAATAAAGATGCACCAATTTCCCTGAAGGCTTTCACATTAAAATATCGGCATGAGGATGTTTGAGACTTTAGAGATTGTTTTTGATAGATTATACGAAGTAAGAAATGATGCTACATCTCAATAAAAACCATTCCTTCAGCTTCCCCTAACACTGATGCTGATCTCAGAACTCCTAAGATATTTGTAGTCTTAGGAAATAAAAAGATAACCATTCTTTTATTGCATCTGCAGGATTATTTCTCCTATTAAATTGAGAGGTTTCATTAATGTCTGACATGTAACCTCCTTATGCTGATGCCGAATGGCACTGACTTACTCAAAACATATAGGTCTATTTAAAGCATGTGTTTTTTCATTACCTTTTTTTCTAGTGCCACATGTATGCTTAGTGCTTTTAGGAAGGAAAAAATATGCAATCACAAATGATAAATCTGTAGACAGTCCTTAGACAAGCTAATCCCATTTCCCTTCTCAGTTGTGTTTTAAAGCAACTGAATTTACGTGAGTGGGATGTAAATGCCTGAGGCATAACTTGTGACTATTGACTCAACTGAAAACTCCCACCCAAAGTTAATTTCAGTGTATTATCCCCAGTCCATCAGCTCCATGAGTGTATCTGCTGCCTCAGACTCCGGCAGGCTGGTAATTCCTTAGTTAGTAAAGATTAGCAGAATTGTAACCAAATATTCCCTAGAGCAGGCACAAGACCCCATCACTGTGGGGATGCATGTTATGACTTGAGTTGGCTTGCATCATTCAATGAGTTGGAAAGAAGAAATGCCATAATGCCCTAGGGCAAGCATCTCCTTCCCATAGACTGGTAGCCTGACTCTGCATCTCTGTTACAAAAAAGGTGACATGTTGACCTGATCATGGACATCTTTGAATGCCCAAGGGAAATTTAAAAAGAAAAAAAAAAGGTAGGAAAGAGCTTTAAATACACCTGAACTTAATAACTTCATGCAACCAATCTTAACTGAGAATGAAAATCTCATTTCTGAGCAGTATTGAACTTTGGGCTTTAAAAAAAATAGATCTGTGTTTTACTACTTCGGTAAGATCTCCATTTAAGGTTGCTCCTTGAGTGAAAACAGGGTTATCCTTGATATCATCAGCATTAAATGATTACCCTGTACTTAAATATTAGTTGCACATTTGAGTTTTTCGTCAGCCTGCTTGGATAATGACAGTGTTTTTCATTTGCTGTTGTAGGTTCCTACCAGCCAAAAGAAAGAAGGTGTTTATGATGTGCCAAAAAGTCAACCTGTAAGTGTAAGTATCTTGGCAATTTCTATGTGATAAAGAAGGTATGTTTCTTAACTTCTTTGACATTTGTATTTTTATGTAGCATTTGGCACGGTTCTCCTGATGTCTGGTTTGTCACTGATCTGCAGTGGCAGGGCTAGCTCAGAGTAGCCAGCAACCAGAGTAACTTTGCTGAATTCAGTCTCATTCATTACCTAAATCACCTCCTGTCTTTTTTGATTCATTCTCCTAAAACTCGCCATTTATATAAATGTGCTCTCTGTGGTTAAGAGCCAGCAGGCCACCAGCTGCATGCTAATGCTTTGCTAAAAACACCTTTGCAGCCTAGGTTAGAAAAGTTCCCCTATTCCCTGTAGCTCTACAAGGCTTATCAGCCCTCCACGGCTGCTGTGGTCGTGCAGAGCTCGCCGTCCTCTCCCCATGCGCTCTGTCAAACCTGGGCATTACATCCTGTGCTCCTTATGGCTCAGCTTAAGCCGAAGAGCTAACAGTTAAGGTGAGGGCAGAATAGAGTGGAGGTCAAGGGAAGAATAGCATTAGGAGCAGACGTGTCGGAACACTTCTGTGTCGTCATCTCTGGAGATTTGCTGCAGCTGAAACATCTGCACCTTGCAAAAGACTCCCTAGTGAATGCAGTGGGCTGGTGGGTAAAGATTTCACAAGGAGCTTCAAATGAAATGTGAGAAAACAGCAAGGATTGGCCTTAGAATTATTCTTCTATCATTTGAAAGAAAAAAGTTGTATCAAAATCGCACCTAATATATACACCACGGAAAAGCAATTATTTTCCCCATAAACCAGCTTCTAAGCCGGCTTAATATTAGGAGAGCTGTGCAGTTGTAGAGTAGAGATACTTGTGATTGCCACTGGCTTAAGCAGCTGTGGGAAGCTCCAAAAGGAACTACTCCAAGCTTAAGTGAATAAAAAACCTTCACTCACCAAATCGGTGAAGTGTACAAATTTGCTGCACATATTACAGTGCTTTTCTGGCTATTACAAGCTGTAATCAGCACAGGCAGATTTCCTCCCACTGTTGTTATGTATTGTTTCTGCAGCGTGCTAAGTATACAACGGGCTAAGGGCCAATAAACCCAATAAAAACTTAATTCTTTTTGTTTTATGCCTTGCATGGACAGCTGAATGTGTTATAAAGTAGGAGTAATATGCTGCTGTATCCAAATAGCACCATTCCCTTTCTATGTATTAACATTATGAAGTGGCAAAACATTTATCCGATGAATGTATAAGGAATGGGAGCAAGTGCAGAGGGGTGAAGAATCAGGATGATGGATGCCTTAGCAACAGGATTGTGCATTTGCTGATGGAAGGGTTGTACTGCGGAGTATAAATTTGTGCTATAAAATAGCAGTGCTTTGAGAAATTGTTCTTTTATGTTTACATGGGAAACTATTTATTCTGAGAATTTTTAGGAGAATGGGAGAAAAAGAAAGGGAGAAGTCGGGAACCTCGGTCTGCTGTAAGCATGGGGAAAATGTCTGTATGAGAAACACTTTTCACATATGGATGTGGAAAAATGCGTACCTCTGGCTGAGCACAGAGGTACTGACTTAAAATAAATGATAAATGCGGTGGGGACCCGCTGAAGGTCGGGGTTGTGGCACTTTTGTGGCTTGCGCAAGCAAACAGATCTTACCATAAATATTTCCTGATAATCCGCTGGGAGGAAAGAGACATCATCGTTTGGATCAGGAAAATCTAGTAAGGTAACTCATATTGTATGATTATTTATTAAGGTATTTGAGGGCAAGGAGTAGCTGTACATTCTTCACTACTTTCTCATATCCTTCAGTGTCCTTTTTTGTATATCTTTTTTGTGGCTTTTTTGCCATTGCCTCGGTGTAACTTCAAAATCATTCTTAAGTCTGTAATTTAGGCCTTTGCAGCATGACTGTGTAGGCAGTAGAGGTACTGCTGTTTCTGCAGACACTGTGTTGCTGGACTGTCACGTTGCAGAGCAGGAGTCTGAGATATTGAAGCTAGTCTGTAATCATCAAATACACTTAATGTCATCTCTGTGAAGCTGGTTACAGAATTATTTTTTGCTATTTCCTGGTTAAGTTTAAAATCATCAGATCTTTATCACCAAACATGTTATGCAGTTCAATCTATAAAGGGATAAATAAAAAAGAGAAGAGGGAGCAATACATAGGTAAGAGTGTTTCACCTTTTTCTATTAGTGTGCAGTACAAAAAGGGAAGGCAGCAGTAGCTCTTAAAATGAGCAGTTTAATATTCCACTACCCATCTGATTTATTGCTTACCCTTCCACATGTAACACTCTGTCATTGAAATGCTTGCCATAATTTTTTTTATTTTCAATTTAGGGCTGTCCTTACTATATAAACCTGTAAAATTCAATGTGGAGGCCAATAAAGTAACTCATCGACCTGACTTAAACATATAAGGACACTTCCCCTGTAAGGAGATCTTGCTTTATTAATTTCTTAACAGGTGAAAGAAGAAATTTTTTAGCCTCTAGCAGGTTCCAGGCAACAAAAATTCCCTGTCCTGACTAAAACCACGACAGTTAATAAAAACACAGCCAGTGTTGCTTGAGCTCAAACTGAACTGCTCACATTCCCTAGATAGAGATTGATTTTCCGTCTGGGGATTGTTTTTCTCTGGTGTGTTCCCAGGCAAGTTATCTCTGGTCTCAGCACATAAAAATGAGGCATACAGAGCTAAGTCATCTTGGTGCCTTCTGCCTGTGATGCTCTGTAGTCAGTGGAGAGAAATAGCCACCTTTGCAAGGAATTTCCTCCCGTCTGATCCATACTTCTCAGGTTGATGTGAATGGACATCCAGATAATGTGTGCTGGTTGCAGAAGGAGTTTAAATAGCATGCTGGAATGATCACTTAACTTTTAGATAGGCTTAAGTAGATGAATTATATCAAAATGTAAAAATCAAAGGTGTGATATGTGTGCATGTTTGTGTAAATTCCCATTTTCCCATTTTCTCTCTTCCTTCTCAGGCAAATCCTCGTGTTCTCCCTCACTTGCACTAGGCTTCAGACTAGACAAAGAAAGCCAGCTTTATCCCGAAGAGCTTCTGTTAAGTAGTACTTGGAAATTGTAGTTCCATGTATGAACTTACAAAGCAAAATGTTTAATGAGCTCTTTTTGTTATAATTTCCCATCGTCTTCCCCATTATACATACACGTCAAGTTCTACCTGTCACGGTGTTTTTAGTAATAAGAGGCAGACTGTAAATACCCTTCACCGAGACTGTCAGTCACGTCACAATAAAACCTACTCTTCCCATCAAAATGTCTAAACTAGCTGCTTACAGTTTTATGAAGGCTTTCAAACAACTCATCTTACTGCTATAGGAAGATTCAAGGTGTTATAGCTGATGCTTTGAGCACGGGCAGGCAGCTGGCGAGTACCGAGTGCGTGGAAATGTTAACAAATCAGGGTGGAAAGAAGAGGAGTAAGTGGCTGTCTTGGGTCAAGGCATGGGAGATGTGGACCATAACCGCTGCTTGAAGCCATGCTGGACCTGAGCCCATGCTGGTCTACTGTCCATAGCCTGGAAAACTCTGTTTTAGTTAGGCCTGGGATTGAAGGTGGGGATTTGCCAGTGCTTTTTTCCAGGCTTCAGGTCAGAGATGTTCCTGCAGCCATGTGGGAGGCACAGACAGCCCTGGTCCTGGCTACATCATTCCAAGTCAGGCCCAAAAGCAGCAGGGTTATCTGGAGCAATTCTGGATAACTCTGCCCATCTTCTTAAAAGTGAGTTGTTTTTGTGTCACTTAGTCTGGAGAAAAGCTTTGTAACCTTGTCTTTTCAGTAAGTTTGGAGCAAGCATTTTGCATCACTGGCTGGTGACGCTGACTTCAGCCTCCACAACCAATTTTGGATTGAGACACTCAAGTTTTCAAACACAAGAAGGAGCTCTCACAAACACAGCGTGGCCATCTGTGTCTGCAAAGTCTGCTCACCAGTATCCACAGGGCAGACTTAGCTGGAGCTTCGCTTTCGGATGCGCTTTTGGGCCCCCCTGGAAATGCCTCTGTGCTTTCAGGTTGCCTTTTCATTTCACAGTGGCGTTAGGGCTCGCACGGCTGCTGTCTCGGAGCGGAGCCGCTTCTCACTCTGCCCAAGGAGGTGTCTGGGTGTGATGTTGCTGTCACAGCTCTTCGGTGACAGCCCCTGCGGGGTGGCGGGCGGCCAGGCTGCTGTGTGACCCCTGTCATCTGCCCCGTGTCCCCGTGGGGCGGGTGCGAATGGCCCTGCTCGGGCGGCGTCTGCAGCGACCCTTGAGTCTTAGGTTAAGCCTGTATGGGGGGTTCTCTCCCGTGCTTATTACTCGACTTAGCTGCATGGCCTTTTGCTGATCAAGAGCTGTAAGCACCATGCCTGTTGTAGAGGGTTTTTTTCTGTTTTTTTGTGGTTTTTTTTTTTAATTATTTTTTGCTGGGAATATTTTGTGTTTTACTGTTTAACAAAATCTGTGACTGCGCAGCAATCAGAGAGCAGATCCCCCTCCCTGATCTTCCCAGGTGTTGGTATCTGTAACAGAAAGTGGTCATGTTTCTTCACGTGGATTGCACATAGATGTGTGTGTCTGTATATATGTGTGTGTCTGTGTGTATAATTAGGCTTCTGTAAGAGCTTAGCACCTAAGGCTCAGAGTTAGGGATATTTCAACCAATTCTTGAAAATTTAACATTGCAGTGATGTATACAGCTAGATCACTCTTCTGCTTTCCTGGCTGCGCTGGGGGTAAATTAAGAGGGCAGACTCGGTAGCAAACAAACAACTTCAGCCTTTACCCTTCTGAATCCTTTAGCAGTTTGAAAAACATCAGACCTATGAGGTTTTTGAAAAAATGATCCCCGAAAATGTTTTACAGAGTAACTTTTTGTTACATATCGGAGCCATTCCAAAATATTCTGCAACTGAAATGTAATTTTCAGGTTAGAGATATAGAAGAAGAAATGGTTATTGTGCAAATGTTACCCTTTACATTCCAATACACTA